GTAACAGAAGAAGGATCAATGCCTTTGAATTGTGTTGTTGGATAAAAGTATTATACATTCCATGGATTGTCAAGAGAACAAACAGATCTTAAAGAGAACTGGGTTGCTCTTTGAAGGCAAGGATTTTGAAGCTGTGTCTGACATACATTGCGTATGTTGCCAGGAGAGACCAGTCCTTGGAGAAGGACATCATGCTTGGAAGAGTGCAGGGACAGTACAAGAAAGGAAAACCTAATAGGACATGAACTGACATGGTAACTGAGAAAATGGGGCTAGGTGTGTTGGAGACAGTGAGATTGGCTCAGGATGGGACAGGGTTCACAGCTTTTGTGCATACGGTCAGTATGAATCTCAGGCAGCTCATAACAACATCAGCAGCTCAACCCAAATGATCTTGCAGATACCAAAAGACTGAAACACTCTTGTAGAAGTTTTCAAAGGAGAGAAATAGGAGCAGGCACTATCTTAGTCAAGTTATTGCAAACCATGGTAAAGATACAGTGCATGAGTGTAAAATGAACTGGTAATAGTCCCACATTCACTTACTTACTTTATGGATAATTATTCAACCATTCTAGGAAGAACCTTTCTGCTTTCTGCTATGGCCTATTTTAATCCACTGAGGTCTTTCACACCACACTCTCCCTCTAACATATTGTTCCATCTTCTATTTTATTTTTAAGTGATTAACTTCCTTGTTAAATTTATTTTAATAACCTCATTGCTCCTTCTCATTCATGTTTGATTTTTATTTTGTCATTTGAGGAGTTCCAGGCTTCTCTGTTTAGGGACATCCCATACACACACAAAACACATCTGTTAAGTAGAGGTCTGTATTATGAAACCAAAAAAATCTCTATCAGTGTTCTTCTCTCCATTTATAATGCATATTTTCATTCTAAAATACAATGTGTATAAACTACTGAATAAAAAATTCATTTGCTCTGTAAATTTTAATACAAATCACATAAAAAGTTAAAAAGTAAAAGAAGATGGGGAAGTCTCTGCATATAACTGCTAACATTGAACTTAAAAAAATTTTTAAATGTGATTTATTATATAAATAGATGGTATCTTTCCTATTTAGTAAGATTCTTTTCTGATTATAAAGGTAGCCCATGCTCATTATAGAAAAAGATAATAAAAATCATGAGTAATCCCACTACTCAAACATTTTTCACTATTTTTGTTTATATATTTGGATATATAAAAAAACCTACTGCCAGTAAGTCAAGTCCAAATCATAACAAACCTCTAGTAAGCTTTCAAGGTTGCAAATCTTTATGGAAGAGACTGCTCAGATTTATTCCATGGAGTAATTCAAATACCCACCTCTGATTAAGCAGTGCAACAGAAAATGTACTATGTAAGGCACTAAAAATGTGACAGGGGAAGAGTGTTTCCTTGGGGCATAGTCTGACATAAAGACATGGACAGTAAAAACCCTCCATTCAATGAAGGTCTTTAATTTGCTGATGTGACAAGTCTCAAAATAAGGAGGAACAGTTACAAATATCCATTAATAATTAAAACATATTGCTCTTGTTATGTGCCATCCAGTTGCCTGCAACTCATAGTGACCCTAAGTATAATAGATTGGAAGCCTGCCCTATCCTAAGCCAGTATCACTGACTCCGACACACCAGCCCCATTCCATCTCCTCCTGGGTCCTCTGCTGTGTTGTCCCTCCACCTTTCCAAGCATGATATCCTTCCTGGTCACATGTCTAAAGTATGTGAGATGGAGCTTCAAAATCCTAGCTTCCAAGGAG